GACCTACTTCTTTATCTTACACCCAGTTAACCTGCCACCGAACCAATGCGATAGCGAGATAAAGGTTATGGTGACATATTTAGGTATTGTAGGAAGGAATTTTATGTCAGGATATTATGAATTGCATTCCTGACGGAACTGAAGTTAATAGTAAACTTTACTCTTTACTTATATATAAACTCTTCTCTTTTATCTCTATCTACAGACCTTTAATATACCAATGTAACATTCTTATACATATATATGTAAATTAAAATCACCATTAGTGATATGCATCAGGTGGGTCTCTTTCAACACCTACTTTCATATTTCACATAAACATGTACAAATACTTAACAATAATATTCCTTTGGGATTCTAAAGATGATCATTTTAATGACCGATTAGTTTCTATCAAGGTGAAAATACCTGAATGAATGGTAATTTTATGACATGGCGCAGGCATTTTTTAAAGTTTCGTGGTTTGTTTATTTGTGGTATACAGATGGAGTTCAATTCAAGATAGCAAATACAACACTTTTTTATAAACTCTGCACTAACGACTAAGGGCTCCTACTTCACCAATCCATGGTAAGTTATTGTAATTAGAGACAGCTGAAATACTCAGTTTTGACTATGTGAAAGTAAAGTGAAATGATACGACTAACTCCTGTTCCAGTGAAGGATTGTATAAAAATATATACAACTTATCAACACTTTTCGATACAAATTCATACAGTATAGTAAAACATTGATTTGAATTAGCACCATACCATGTTTCATCCTTCTAGGGTTAGACAGTGATGTACAGGGCCTACATCATGGAGCCGTACGAGGAAAATCAAAATTGGTCGAAAGAAGAAGTGTCGAAAACAGAATGGGGAGGTGCACTTACCCCTATATTATATAAATTTGATATTTTGAATATCACATTATTTTTAAAAGAACACCAAGTACATTTGTATACTATAAACTGTGGCGAATGAATGGAAGCGTGGTACGCACTGTACAGCAATTCTCAGAGAAAATTGTGATGTTATCGAGACGTCATCAATATCTTATATCTAATTAGTATTCGTAATTAAGAGAAGTGAATGGAACAAATACATCGTTTGAAGAACTTTGGAAAATAAGCAGTGCATCTAAGATTTAATGAATGTGTAATTCTTACAAATAGTATTAGACATTGAGAGAGTATGCCTACAGAAAAAAAAAACCCCAAAAACACCGTTGTATATTCCATTAGAGATTGATTTATGCCGCCATTGTAAATTTTGCTCATGTAAAAGTGCACAAGACAATTTTATTTTGTAGGTTTGAAATTACCATTAAGATACTAGTTTAATATCTGGTAGTGTTTTGTCATTTGATCATGTTATATTACATCGAAAATTCCATCAAAGGTTCTTAAACATTTATGTCCTATAAGTACAAATCAACATTATGATGTAGTTTAATTCATCATTTCGTTCCACTGTATTCTATTTTAAAATTGAACTGGAATGTGTTCTTAGATCTGTGAGAAATATTCAACATGTATACAAATCATACCGAAATATGAAATATATAAATTCTCAATTTACGTGATATATCATTCTAACACACCAGTTAACTATCCATTGTAGCTAAGCGAAAATGCTGGGCCGTTGGGTGCGTTCATAATAAGATATAGATGATGTTATTTAAGTTCTTAGAGATGGTGGTTATATACTAAAAACATCCGTTCTCGAGCCCTAATTTTAGGGACGAATTTCTTTCTTTATGTTTCTCTCGTTTTGCGATGTTCGTTTGATAATGATTTGGTATTAATTTCAGTAATAATCGCATGTCTTGATAAAAAAAAGCTATACATGTAGTTTGAAATTCAAAATTACTGCATTCTAGAATAAAAAGATCTATCTGCTTTCGCAACACCTAGCTAACGATTAATAAATCCTTTGTCGCCTGGCACATCGCCTAATGATGAATCTACTTTACTTTTACCGATTTTATAGTACAAATCCCCTCAAAGGAAAGTAAAAATTTATACTTATCTGCCCTCTACAAAAAGGTATATTCTTACCTCGCCTCGATAGAGAGTAGAAATATTATTGTATTTACCTCCTATCAACAATGTATGGTATAGAATTATTTACCTACTTCCCTTCAACAGACTGTATAGCTTAAATATGCACTTCATCTCAACAGATTGTAAAGTAAAAATATTCACGCCATCTCAACAGATTGTACAGTAGAAATATTTGCTTCATCTCAAAAGATTTTACAATAAAATATTCAAATAATCTGAACAGATTGTTCATTATACGTTTTTACTTAGTCCCAACCAATTGTAGAGTACAGTTTTCAGTAAGAGAGGTCATTAATTATTTCAATGCCTCCGCTAGGATTCGAACCCGGGACCTCTGGTTACTATTCTTATGCTCAACCGATCGAGCTTAAGAGATCTCTAGCCGAGCGGTAAAGATTTACCTGGGTAACAATGAAGTGCATATATTTACTGTGTGTGATATTCTACATTGATTTACTGAATTATTAAATTACTGTTTTGTATTCCAAGCTATCATGTCATGAATATCAAACAGGCAACATTTCTAGCTCGTTTTGATAATAATTTCATTTTAAATTATTTAACAGGTACAGCAGAAGGTTATGTAATTATATATACTCAACCAATAGATAATAAGAACGATAGAATGCATACTGGTGACGAATAACGTGTCATTATTCTAACCAAATGACACTGGAATATAGCATCACACACTTCGTTTATATTTAAAACCTTCTATTGTCCGCAATCATACAATGACAATAAAGCTACGATTCAATTTCTCATTCATAACATCATACCATGATATGTGCACAGATAATAGTATTCAATAGCGGGTGTGGTAAATGCACAGGTGCAACGACATATCGTCACCTTAAGATTTATCACGTGACTTTGCAAAAAATCATAATTATTACTACATCATCCGGCTAACAGTATTATCACTGAACACTTAAAGTGTATCAAAATGATTTAAAACGTCGACCAAACTTTCGCTTATTCATGCATCGATTATTTTGTACTTGATCATGGTGACGTCTGCATAATAATGGAATAAAAGTAACGTTTGTATATACAAACGTAAGTGGAATTTTTAAACACCATCAACGACTTTCAATCAAACGTCACAATGGTTGTTTTATTTGACGGAATAAACTGTCGAAATGAATTGAGATTAAATCTAGTTAAAATCAGCGTAAGAAGGCACCATGTCTGGGAGTGTGACAGTGCACAACATTATGATTGTACCGGATGCCACATACTGCATCAATAAACATGTTTTGCTATGCAACTTGCATGTGTGTCATTAAACTGACTCGGATGAATGTCATCACACTAGCCTGAATATGTATCCATCAAACCGACTTGGATGTGTGTCATCATATCGACCCGGATGTGTGTCATCAAACCTACTTTGATTTATATTATCGCACCGGCTTGGAAGTACCACCAAACCAACTTGGATGTGTCATCAAACAGATTCTAAACTCCTAACCTTCAATGCCTGAATCCCGAAATAGTATCAGATTACCTATTGAAACCAACCATGTGTCAAAGACAGACAATCATAGTTGAAAACTGCCGAACATTTCTGATCGAAAGGGCAAAGTCAAACCAAAGGAGCTTTCCTGAAGTAAATATATACATGTGGAAAATCCTTTTACCATTTCCGGTTATGTCACGTGGTACATTTACAATATCTTACTGTTAAGTTGTATAACTTTTATATTGTGAAACAAGCTTTTCGTCAACGTTTACTGTCGATTTACACAATACACGCGGAATTAATTGATTTAAACAAATCAAAAGTATCATAATTACCTACAACCAAGTGCAACTAATATAAAACTGTTTTATTTACATCTGAAAAATTATCTGGATCAACAACCGATTACATAAAAGATGTCTGATGTATAGATTTACTCTATATAATCAACAAGCATTATCAAGATTACACCGCTGACAACATACTTGCTAAGGTTGCTTGAGTGAGAAGTCATTGAAACCGAAACGGTTTTAATATGATAGAATGAAAATTTAGGTGCTCCTACACAATATCAAAACATTTCCTCTGTTTTTCCCATATATACAAGAAAAGTAACGAGGATGTGAACACAATGAATATGTGACGCTTCAACTCTCTCATTTTCATAAGGTCGTTAGAAACCGTTCCGTGACGTCATAAAATTCTACAAATATCCCTTGTGTTACTGATTTTAACAAAAAATGCAGAATTACATTGTATATATTCGTACCAAGCGATGTTGCTAAACATCCATGCTGATAGGAACCCTAATTAGCATTACATAGATACTGACAAGATTTATCATTTGTTCAAACCATATATTTTTTTATCGTAATCCGTTCTTTAATACACAAAATGACTCAATATATTTGTCTTTCATAAACATAACTGTTGTTAAATACTGTCTTATCATCCCTACCGTAAATGATGACATACTAAACTGATCGCATGTGTAAGCCATGCTTGAATGCTCTTCTTTGAAAGTGTTTGTATGTGACGACTTTAAATGTAGCCATGCTGAAGTCATGTCCTACTATAAAAATATAGCACTATTGGAACTATAACTAAAACACATAAAACAGACGCACTTAAAAATCGTATATTTACTGTAGTAGAAACACATGGTTGGTTCTGAGCTTTTCTTATTCATTTGTGTCGCTTGATTGTGTGACATCTGGGGTGTTTTTATCTAAAAACCCCACACGGATGAAAAGGAATTCATGCTTCAAAGCTGCGAGGTCTGATATCAAAAACGTGATTAAATCCAAATTTGAATATGATGTATAATCTGTACTAGGAAGATTATTGCTTTGGTTTTAGATCCATTGTATAAATTCCTTATACAGAAAAGGACCGTATAAAATACCTATCATGGCGTGAAATGAGATGTAAATCTAAACACAAACAAAGGCAATCCTGGAATAAAGGGTGAAATAAAAATACACTTACCTTGGAAATCCTTTCGAGCTGCACTGATGCACGTGACAATATTGGAAACATGACCCAGAACAGTAGCGAAAAGCAGCAGACCAAATATCATCTCAAAAATGATGAATAGATAGTCTTTAATGGTAACCGGATATGGCAGGTTTCCGATTGTCGTTAATGTTAAAGTACTCCAGTACAGCGCGTGAAGGTATTGTCGTGCGACATTACCATCATCCTTTGGTAGAGTCCACGTGCTTGAAGACCTTTGAAGTCGAGAAGCAACTATATAATACAAACAAGCATTCCAGTGAAACAGAGCAAGAAGATAATGCATCAACATAAGAGTTCGCATAACGTTTGGATAATTTGTATGTCTTTCAGTTCGATCTAGGAATGCCCAGAAACGATATACTTTAACTAATCTAAAACATCTCAAAATTGAGCAAAAACCTATGGAAAGGTAGAGAAAATCCAACGGCAGCAAACAGAGCAAATCAATGTAAAATATAGTATCGTTCATGTAATGTATTCTAAGTTTGACAGAATCTGTTTGGAGAACACCATCCTCCAAGTACCCTGTCCGGAAGTGAAACACGATATCGAGTATATACAGGAAGTCAGCTGTGTAGTCAAGGGCGAACCATTCTCCATGATTGCTGGAATCTATCTCTTGAAATGCAAACCGGTAAATAATGACCCAGAAATTATAGAGAAAGGCGACGCTTACAACGGATGACCACCAGTAGGCAAAGCGCCCTGCCGGGTCAAACACGAAAGTCCAGTTACACCCATCCCTATCACTAGGAGCTGAACTCGATTCACGGATTTCATTCGTTCTTTGGCTTTTCTTACCAAATTTTTCTTCGATATCTTTTTGTCTCTGCTTTCGTATTTGTCTTGCCGTAAGAATTTCTTTTGATTTTGATTTTGTAAGTAACAATTTCTCATCTTTGGACGAAAAACTTTTCTTTCCTTTCCCGCGGTCCAACCTCGTCCCAAACAGATCCAATAGACTTTTCTGAGATGTTGACCGTGATTTTTGCTCAACCACTTTACTTGAGTAAACAGGAGAAGATAGACTTATCCTCCCACCCGAAGAACTCAATCTCGCTCCTATAGAATGCGAATGAGATCTTGCTTTCGGGGATGGGTAAGCTTGAAAAGCTCCAATTCCAGTAAGGCGTGGACCATTAGCGGTCGGCGTCTGGTTCCTGGAATCCATATCATGATTAGACACAGAATCAAAACTGGAGATATCCTTTCCTGAATGGTTGTCCCTGATGACGCCATGTTCTTGCTTTTCTACAATTGAAATTTCCTCTAGTTCGTCGTCAGTGTGATCCCCTTTAGCACACGGTGTATATTTGACCGCGACTCCTGGTTCAGCACTGCGGTTTCGGGTAAGCGTTCCTGCCATTTCTCCTATCTGTTGTCTGGCAGAGACTCATGAAAACAGCGTTTACCGTTGGTAAAGGTGATTGGAGCACCATTTACATGTTTACAGTAGCATCTCCTGTGGAATTGCTATATCTCCCTTTTTTAGAAGATTTAATCGATGAACATAGTCTCCTGTTCCACAGAGTTTACTATTGTATGAGTCCATATTGCAGAAAAACACCATGCTATAGCCTTATCATGTGATCGGTAATATTTTGCTCGTCAGCCAGGCATGACTTCAAACTCCATAGGGAAAAAGACAGGGATTGAACACAAATGTAATATGAAATATTGATAGAAACAATTGAACAGTAGTTATAGATCCAATGTTATCTATATGTAGAACTGCCTGTTTCTATTGTTTACATTGCACTGGACTAGCCTCGACACAATCGGCCGACTCATGTGCTAGTCAAAGTACCGTAAGCCTCGTGGCTTCTTGATGAGGTCTGTTCTGATGTTTGAACTGTCCTTTCAGTTGATAACAAACAGATATTTTATATCGGGGATTCAGATATGTTTCCTACATATATAGATATATTTATGACAAATTCTTCCACCCCTACTGTAAATAGTTACACTCACTACCATAAGTAAACAAATATTAATTAACACGTTGATTACAAATATTGACTGTATGGATACATGTGTATTTTTGAATCGACATAATGTCCTATTTTCGTTTAAACCCTTTCGTATTTCTCCCCTATTTGGAAGAATTGTACTAAAGGAGACTTTAGCGTCAGCAATTTGTATTCCGAACCCATAATTAGCCCATGTTGGTGATTAATCTTTACCAATTGACCTAGAACAAACTGCACGTGGAGCTATAATTACGTTATGCTCCCTTTTCCTGTTGTTTAGTACAGTGTTAAGTTCCTATATTCTGTCAGTGAGGAACTGATGCTGTTCTGAATCAATAGATAGATGTATTTGTTTCTTTTTTTATAAAGCTATTAAGTATACACACTACCTGTAAAGTGGAACCAGTAAATCTCAGTATCAGATATATCGTGTGTTTGGTCGCTCTGTTCGCTGCTTACCATCCATAGACCCTGATAGGGAGGCAATTTTCTGCTACCACAAGTGTCACAAAGCCCTCACACGTTACAACTATATACCGAGAGAGAGAGGGTGAATCAAACAACATTGACAGATGCTCTAAACTCCTATTTTCCGAACACAATTGAGATGCCCTGATTTCTTTTCCGTTTTATCCATGTCACCTATCAAATTACCTCCAAACATGAAACAGATGGAAAATGGCGTGGTCAGACAAACCGCATGGACGCATGGCAGGCTACCATACTGTCACACAAATGGAGCGGGGCTGGTTTCGTGTTGCGTTTGAATTCTATCACGCACAAGAATGTATTCCAAAGCCCAATGCTGACAGATCCACAGACGACATGAGGCGTCTCCTACAGTTGGCACAGATGTCAAGCTCTCGTACGGACGGTCCTATGCTTTCCCAGGCTATCACGCAGAACCATAGATATGTCTCAGTCAGAGATGATCGGAAAGGTTGGCAGGCACCACAAGCGAACAGACGGCCCTAGATTTCTGTCCAGGCTCCGCAGTCTTCTGCAACAAAACAAGTTGAGCAAACTGACTTCCGTTGTATTGATGGAGTTACATACCCGCCACCATTTAATTTATGTTGATATGAATACCCCGCCCAAATTATCACGAAATGTCCGTCTTGTTATCAATAACTTGCTAGGTTATTAAAATCAGTCGATTTCAAATGAAAAAGGTAGATGAAACAAATGTATCAGATTTCGTACAGTGTATGTCAAAATCATTTACATAATGGTTATCAATATTGAACACCGATGGTGTACAGTTCAGGCCAGAACCGCGGTACGTACATAATTGAAATGACGTCATGTCATCAAATATTCAATCACAGAGAATGAAATATTTTGAATTCTAGCATAAGCTTATTTACAAACTGAGAAAAAATATGAAAAGAATCACAATCACAAGGGCTTATAATAATTCAATAGGGGAGAAGGACTTTTGTTGTATAGTAGGATTACAATCAAAGGGACTTGTAATATAATATTAAGGCACGTGTAGTATATTACATTCACAGGGACTTGTAATATAATATTTAGGCACATGTAGTATATTACAATCACAGGGACTTGTAACATAATATTTAGGCACATGTAGTATACTACACACTTTAAGTAGGATAACAATCACAGGGACTTGTAATATAATATTTAGGCACGTGTAGTGTACTACACACTTTAAGTGGGATTACAATCACAGGGGTTTGTAACATGCCTTCTAGGAGAGAAGGGCTTGTGTAGTATATTAAATACTTAAAGTAGGGTAACAATCACAGGGGATTGTAACATAACTTCTATGAGATAAGTGCTTGTGTGGTATATTAAACACTTTAAGTAAGGTCACAATCACAAGGTTTTGTAACATATTTTCTAGGGGAGAAGCTTGTGTAGTATACTATTAATACTTATAGAGGCCAACGAAACACCAAAGAGAAATTAACCAGCCTAAGAAAAGTCATCGGTATCCGGCCAATTACTGGTCTAGTAGTATATCTTTATTACCATAATGAGCACAAATCAATTAACTACCAGAAAAACACGACATACAATATATTACATTCATCAGCTGTTCGCTTACTTTGAATATGAAACAAGACCGTCGAATTCCCTGATGTAGCTATTATGTGTATTCGCTGAAATCCAAGAAAATAAGGTCCGCTTTACTACGTGTACTTATAGTATAATGCCCTTGTCCATCTATACTACAAACACGTACATCTATGGTCACAATATTGGTCAGCTTATCAAATGAAAGCGGATTTTCAGAGGTAGAAGCAAATGACGAGCATCATTCATCTAAATATACAGCTGTGAATTTCTATAAATTAGAAAATCAAGATGTAATGCGAGAAATCCAACAGTGTTAAACAAAAACGACTGTTACACGTGTGTTGGTATGATGACGTGTCAGATGGTGACTATAAGTAGTTATACTTCCGTGTTGAAATATCAATGGGCCCCTGGGCAATTAACCACTGAGCGTAGTTAATTTGAACATGAAGCATTGGGAAAATTTTGATTTTCAAGTTTACCTATTTCAGATGGACGAAAATACTTTTTCTTATAAAATAAATATTCTCAAACATTACTGTATTTAAATCTCCGCAATGTTTTTCTGGTTAACGTCTTTTTAATTCGATACGTTCATGAATATAAAACAAAGGCTGAATTTCCGATGATGTTAAGGGTCAGTCACTTAGACCAGACCAGTAGCCATCCCCACGACTGAAGTACATCTCAATAGCGTTATAATGATCACATTTGAAGAGATATTTCTAGTGTGACAATTGTCATCTCTGACCGTTTAGTAGGGTAATCGATGTTTTTTTTACACATGTACTTGTGTGATTTACTACCTATCCGTGGTTTGTAGCAACGGTATTCCGTCTCAGATGATACATGTGAAATTAATGGTGTAAAAGTGATGTAAACATTGAAAAGAGATTTTCTTAAAGGGCGAAAGTCACCTTTGGGTCTCGTGATAACGAGAAGTCCTTGAAACGCTTGTACATGTGTCACGTCATGTAATGTTAAATACCATCGGAAAATAAAAAAAGAAGTATGAATGGTATTTCCATCTGGTGGATTTACATTGTCGATAATACATAATCCATTTGTCTGTAAACCAGGTCATTATTAACAGCATACAGCAAGATGTGTAAAGGAATGAAAATGTAAAAATAAATTCGTGACAGTTCAAAGCTGAATACACGGGTAGATGGGGGCTGCTAAATTCTTTTGTAATATGACTTCTTTGTTATCTAAACATCTCTTCGTCTTTGAAAACTTCATCATATCAAAACTTCATTAAGATATAATATTTATTAAGGGAATGAGAAGGTTATGTAGAGTTAGTGATATGAAACTGATGATCTTAAAATGAAAATTTGTATGGAAGTCTGTGTCGGTCAGAGACGTTAGAGGACACACTATCGAAAAGGAGAGGTCAGAGGTGTCCGAGGACACACTATGGAGGGAAAGTTCGGAGGTGTTCGAGGACACACTATGGAGGGAAAGGTCGGAGGTGTTCGAGGACACACTATGGAGGGAAAGGTCGGAGGTGTTCGAGGACACACTATGGAGGGAAAGGTCGAAGGTGTTCGAGGACACACTATGGAGGGGAAGGTCGTAGGTGTCCGAGGACACACTATGGAGGGAAAGGTCGGAGGTGTTCGAGGACACACTATGGAGGGTAAGGTCGGAGGTGTTCGAGGACACACTATGGAGGGAAAGGTCGGAGGTGTTCGAGGACACACTATGGAGGGGAAGGTCGGAGGTGTTCGAGGACACACTATGGAGGGTAAGGTCGGAGGTGTCCGAGGACACACTATGGAGGGAAAGGTCGGAGGTGTTCGAGGACACACTATGGAGGGTAAGGACGGAGGTGATCGAGGACACACTATGGAGGGTAAGGACGGGGGTAGTTCGAGTACACAGTATGGAGGGAAAGGTCGGAGGTGTTCGAGGACACACTATGGAGGGAAAGGTCGGAGGTGTTCGAGGACACACTATGGAGGGTAAGGACGGAGTTGTCCGAGGACACACTATGGAGGGAAGGTCGGAGGTGTTCGAGGACACACTATGGAGGGAAAGGTCGAAGGTGTTCGAGGACACACTATGGAGGGAAAGGTCGGAGGTGTTCGAGGACACACTATGGAGGGTAAGGACGGGGGTGTTCGAGGACACACTATGGAGGGTAAGGACGGAGGTGTTCGAGGACACACTATGGAGGGGAAGGTCGGAGGGTTCGAGGTTCGAGGACACACTATGGAGGGAAAGGTCGGAGGTGTCCGAGGACACACTATGGAGGGAAAGGTCGGAGGTGTTCGAGGACACACTATGGAGGGTAAGGACGGGGGTAGTTCGAGTACACAGTATGGAGGGAAAGGTCGGAGGTGTTCGAGGACACACTATGGAGGGGAAGGTCGGAGGTGTTCGAGGACACACTATGGAGGGGAATGCCGGAATATGTTCGAAGTTACAATAAAGATAGAAAAGGTTGGATGTGTTCGAGGACAAAAAGTAGAAGAAGAAAAAGGTCGGAGGTGTTCGAGGACACACTATGGAAGGAAAGGTCGGAGGTGTTATAGGAAACTCTTTCGCAGCGAAAATATAGATGAGTTATCGAAAAGGAGAAAACTAAAACTGCCTTTTTTCTATTTATCAGTCCATAGATACACATTACAGATTTATCCTGACTGTGTTAATGATCCATTCCTCTAATATATTCTATATAACTGACCACGCTGACATACAGTGTGTCATGAATATTCTTCGTACTGGAGACGTTTGGGTTAAAACATCGCACACAAGATCCAGTGACGTCATTAGAATTGATGTCAAACTCAGGTACTTCCGCTTAACCTTGTCTGATCGGAGCATTGAATCGATTGAAATAAACGGAATTTTCCTCTTTACTAGTTATACATATTCTTTTCATATCCTCTTGTATAGAGGACTTAAATCCCGTTGTCTTAAAATAGTTCATATGAAGTTGCTTAACAAGGAAGTTAACATATTTAATTGCGTGCCTACATCAATCGTCTTTATACACCGATCATAGTGAATACCGGCAATGAATCCTGGACATTAAATATACATCGCCGAGACTTTAGGAATGTATTGTACCTACGTTTTCTATACAGTATCCGCGATCTCCATAGACTAAGTTAGGAACGATACTTAATAAGGCAGGTTTTACACAAATGGTCTGCTGGTCAATTATTCATAATAATTGAATATCATAAATAGTGATGTGCTCGTAGGTTATGACATGTCATTTCATTGTGGTGTCGGGTTTCCATGGTCAGTGGGGCGTGATGATACGGTCAAGGGACGGACAGGCATGGTTTGCTTGATATGGTATTTCTTTCTTTTTTTCTTAACATTTTGTTTATCCTTTGGCATTTTTCTACGAAAGAAAGGATATTTCATGTTAAAATGATATACTTGCACTTTAAAGCGGAACATTAGATAGACTACTAGATGTCTGTACATACGCAAAAGTGGTTTAAAATCAAATTATTCCAAATAAATCAATATCACTTACTCGGAAATTACAAAAGTAAACCTAGTGCTCTTTATAATGGAAAATCAACCAGTTTTACAGTTCTTGGATATGTAAATGTCATTCAAAAATTAAATACTTTTTACTCAGACTTTTCCTCGGAACTACTTCAATGGTAATCCACACTCACAGCCTATGGAGACGGTGATTCAGCGTGTACATGTTTTAAACACGCGAACGCTGGCATCGTCTGTTAGAAAAGTATCTCCAGGACAGGGATTGAATACCAGCGCATGAAAGTTGTCCTTAGTATTTTTTTTCTTTTTATTTTAGGTTGTTTGGAACATTTGAATATTTTAATTCAAATTTAATATTTCAATATTTATTATGATTAACTTGTATCTTACAAGTCAAAACAACGATGGTAAATTGTAACTTGTTCTTACCACAACGGTTTACATATCAAAATATATTCACGCAATGTTTGTGGTTTTAAGTAAACGATTTATAAAGTAAACACAGCCGATGAGGCTACAATTAGAGGGTTTCGCCTCTGTATACTCAATCAATGTACCTACCATATCTATTTACCACGGTTAAGGTTGGATTTTATGTCTAGGCACGTCCGATCAGAAAAGATTTAAACACCGAACACTGTATATATCTCACACATAATACATGTACACTGTATATATCTCACACATAACGCATGTACACTGTATATGTCTCACACATAACACATGTACACTGTATATATATATATATCTCACACATAACACATGTACACTGTATATATCTCACACATAATACATGTACATTGTAGATATCTCACACATAACACATGTATACTGTATATATCTCACACACAACACATGTACACTGTATTTATCTCACATAACACATGTACACTGTATATGTCTTACACATAACACATGTACACTGTATATATCTCACATAACACATGTACACTGTATATATGTCACACATAACACATGTACACTGTATATATCTCACACATAACACATGTACACTGTATATATCTCACACATAATACATGTACACTGTATATATCTCACACATAACATATGTTCACTGTATATATCTAACACATAACACATGTACACTGTATATATATATCACACATAACACATGTACACTGTATATATCTAACACATGTACACTGTATATATATATATATATATATATCACATAACACATGTACACTGTATATATCTCACACATAACACATGTACACTGTATATATCTCACACATAACACATGTACACTGTATATATCTCACATAACACATGTACACTGTATATATCTCACATAACACATGTACACTGTATATATCTCACAATAACACATGTATATATATCTCACAATAACACATGTACACTGTATATATCTCACATAACACATGTACACTGTATATATCTCACACATAACACATGTACACTGTATATGTGTCACACATAACACATGTACACTGTATATATCTCACACATAACACATGTACACTGTATATATATCAAACATGTATATATGTCACACATAACACATGTATATATCTCACACATAACACTGTATATATCTCACACATAACACATGTACACTGTATATATCTCACACATAACACATGTACACTGTATATATATATATAACACATGTACACTGTATATATCTAACACATGTACACTGTATATATATATATATATATATCACATAACACATGTACACTGTATATATCTCACACATAACACATGTACACTGTATATATCTCACACATAACACATGTACACTGTATATATCTCGTATAACACATGTACACTGTATATATCTCACATAACACATGTACACTGTATATATCTCACAAATAACACATGTACACTGTATATATCTCACACATAACACATGTACACTGTATATATCTCACATAACACATGTACACTGTATATATCTCACACATAACACATGTACACTGTATATGTGTCACACATAACACATGTACACTGTATATATCTCACACATAACACATGTACACTGTATATATCTCAAACATAAAACATGTACACTGTATATATCTCACACATAACACATGTACACTGTATATATCTCACATAACACATGTACACTGTATATATCTCAAACATAAAACATGTACACTGTATATATCTCACATAACACATGTACACTGTATATATCTCACATAACACATGTACACTGTATATATCTCACATAACACATGTACACTGTATATATCTCACATAACACATGTACACTGTATATATCTCACACATAATACATGTACACTGTATATGTGTCACACATAACACATGTACACTGTATATATCTCAAACATAAAACATGTACACTGTATATATCTCACATAACACATGTACACTGTATATATCTCACACATAACACATGTACACTGTATATATCTCACACATAACACATGTACACTGTATATATCTCACACATAACACATGTACACTGTATATATCTCACATAACACATGTACACTGTATATATCTCACACTGTATATAGATCAAACAGTATACAACACATGTACGTTGTATATAGATCAAACAGAATACAACATATGTACATTGTGTACAGATCTAACACAACAAATGTACATTGTACAGGAATCAAACAGTATTGAACACATGTACATTGTACAGGAATAAAAAAGCATACAACACATGTACATTGTATATAGATCAAACAGAACACTGCACATGTACATTGTATATAGTTCTAACACAACACATGTACATTGTATACAGATCTAACACAACACATGCACATTGTATACAGATCTAACACAACACATGTACATTGTATACAGATCTAACACAACACATGTATATTGTATATAGATCTAACACAACACATGTACATTGTATACAGATCTAACACAACACATGTATATTGTATATATATCTAACACAACACATTTACAAGATGTACACACAGAACACAAACATATTGTATACGTCTCATACCTAACATTCTACAATGTATGAATCAGCTTAATGATAACAAACCAATCGGGAACAGGAAAACCTCTAAACTCTCACTCTATCCACGATCCGCCTCTCAAAATTACCCCGCCCCCTGTTCCTTCTCCTTATCTTTATTTCCTATTCACAAACTCCATATCTCAACCGTGTCCCTTGACCCAACACCACCTTTCTACACTTTCATATTAACCTTTGATCCAACTTCCCCTCTGTACCCTTTCTCACTGACCCTAGACTCGACTTGACTCTCTTTCTTCTACTCACCTTCTCCATTCCACTTTTCAACCCTTAACCAGATTCCCCACCTCACTTCTCATCCAGTACCCTAATTCTCCGTCTTCACCACGCCTTAACTCTTACCCCTAAACTCAGACCCGCTGTCCCGACCACACACCTGAACACAGCTCTCAACCCTTACTCATACCCACAGTCCTAGCCCCACCCCTCAACCCTTTCCCCTTCCCCTTCCCCTTCATCTAGAATC